GCCCCTTCCCAAAATTACTTCAACGGAAGGTTTCCAGATGGATATGCGGAGCAAATCCATCTGGCGGAGTCAGGTTAATGTGACAGGGCCCTAACTTAAAACACTTGTTTGCATTATTCCTAAAACCAAATCTAACAGAAACACAGATTCAAACCCTTTCAACAAACCCATAAAAAGACTAACATCAACAACCAGTCTGGTCGGTTCTCCTACATTATACTACACCAACCCCCTCCCCCACTCTCTCTCTGTCTCCATCAGGTTAAACACAGTAATTAAACATCTGTTTTTCAGAGGTGATGAGAGTCCATTGTGATGCTCCAACAACAGGTGTAATTTTCTCCTTCTCCTCAATCATCTCTGACATACGGAGCGAGGCGGGTGGAACCAACCTCCAATCACAAGCAGCATTTTTTCAGGACTGAAAATGCTCTAAAAGTAGCAGAGAAACACACACACAGTTAATCACACACTGATACGCGCCCAAAGACTGTTTGAAAACTGACTAACCTCCATGAAATCGAGCAGCTGGAGGGTGAAAACTCCTCCACCTTCTAAAGCAAAGGCTTAGTAAAAGAGGGAGAGCAAATTAGGATGGAGGGATCAAACGAGGAAAAGGAGAAGAAAAAAAGAAACCCTTGAGGTCTACAAGCCATATGTGTGTGTGTGCTGTGAGTCAGGTGAGACAGACTGGGTTTGTTGTTTACTCGGCAAAAAAAAAAAATGTTTGGTGGAGCTCTGCTAAACGTGCTGACACAGAGAGGAGGGAGGGATGAGGGGAAGAGGAGGGAGGAGAGCAGGATGAAGAGGAAGGAAGAGTGTTTCCAGCCTCCTCGGGGCTCTCTGCAAAGGCATGAAAAAAAGAGCTGCTTTGCTGCTGCAGGAGAACAACTGGCTTTAAACATTTCTGTCTTTTTACACGTCTCCCCGCAAAGCATGTCGTTTTAGAACTCCGCTCAGCACAAGCGTTAATTTCCTGATCAGCAACATTTGGGGGGAAACCGGGATAGTTTAATCCTTTTGAAGAAGTCAGTAAATATTAACAAAGGAGAAATAAAAAATAAAAAAA